GGATCTCACCAACGAGATAAACGCTGTATATTGATAATGAATTATTGAAACGCACTATTAATCAATATTTAATAATTATATGCTTATAATAATAAAAATTCCTATAATATAACTTCACGGTCACCACGATGGTATAAGGCAAACGATAAAAAAAGATAAAACTTATGTGGCAATTATATTAACGATTATTAAATATTCAGCGTTAAAACATTATTTTTATTTAAATGATAACAAAACAATGCGACTTAATCTCCATCGACGTAAAAAATAGATAGGAAAAGTATAGTAACAGAACAGAAATGAGCGTATGAGGAAGCATTTTCAACTTGTTATTTATAATCCATGAAAAGATGTAAAATTGATTACGTATTATGAGATATAACGAGAAAAATATGAAGGTAAACTCGCGAGAGATAAATCGAATAAAAAGATTTCCTATTCTTTCAACTTTAATCGATATTTATTTGAGTTAAAAACGATTATTTATCAAAGATAAGATTACTTCCACTTTCGTGTTTCTCAAACAAGATGGAATTGTTGAATCTAATGCACGGTGAATCGTTAACCTAATATAAAAATAGGTGTAACTGGTGTGTACCATAGGGTCTCGTTCATAGCAATATCGGCTTCCTGGCACGGTGCCCTCCTACGAGAGCAGACTTCCCTTCCCAAAGCATCAAATCGTTTCCTCGTGTCGCACATGTACAGCATCGGTGCTGTCCCTAATTCTTCGAATAGACATTACGAGAATTTAACGATTACAGTTATCTGTTACGATGAGAATGATATTTTCGCATATACTACTATATCAATAATGCCACTGAATATACTCATGCTTTGCAAATATCTATGAATTTTCTATCATCGAATCGCTAATTTCTATTCCATATTTCGATAAGGATTGTTTTACCTTCATATACCATCGTATAAATATATCTCGCAAACAAATAAAATATCATTTCGAATAAAATGTTATTTCGTAACTATTTCGAAGAATGCCATTTCCACGACTCATGAGAAAACGATTTTATCAAAGCTTTATTTATATTTGTAGCTTTCATTTCTAACGATGTTTTCTTTTTCCATTTATTATTTAATAAATTAAACACAATACGTTCGACGTATGCAATGAGATTTCATTTTTAATGATTCTAAAAAAGATCATTTTGTGCCTATGCTATGCTTTACGATTGTCTCTATCAATTAATAAAATGATATATAAAAATTTCTAATATTTCATATTTTAAATGTTATAGTTTATCAGATATTTCTAATTTTAAGATTAGAAAGATATATATAATCGGAAAAAAATATTGATGTAATGTTAATTAAATCTAAGATAAATAGTGATAAAAATATTTATATAGTTACAAAAGAAAAGATTAATTTTCGATTATATAAAATAAAAGAAAAATAAAAGAAAAGTAAAATTCTTGAATATTTTTTTGCTCCTATTATGATTAATCATTTTACTTCATAATTTTTCATTAATAGATAATTAGAGGAATAATTTTTCAAATTTTTTATCGTATTTTTTTTCCGGAATGAAACGGAAAAGAAATAATTACTTCTCTGTTAAACTTTGCACAAAAATTTATAACTTATCGACTTATTGAATCTAGAACAAAAGAAGCACGTGCTTGTGAAAGAACAGTGACATCGTTACATACCAAACAGTTGTCCTTTATTCGAAACGGTACGTATAGGTACTTAACCTTATTAAATCGTTTTCTCTCACGGTTAATTTTAACATTTGACGTTAATGTATTACAAATATCAAAGATTTCGATTTCTCTTCGAGCGAGGGAAAAAGTTAAGTTAAATTTCTATACATTTCGAGTTGCAAGATTCAAGGATGCACCACACTCACCTTTGCTGTCGTTAGATTAAAAATTTGGTCGAACCGAATTTTCGCATCACAGGCACGTAAAAATTGGTGAAATCGATTGTTAATTGTCCAACGATCGCGAAAAGGAGAAATTACGTTGTGTTTTAGGACGCGGTTAATTCAGCATTGCGACGTCGCCGTGTCGTTTTAATTCGACACGTTCTCTACCGTCGAGTCGAGATCTTACACGCCACTAGACCAGAGATTCGGTTATGTTGTGTTGTTATACCTATCCCATCGGACTACACTGTGCTTCGCTAACCGACTGGTCTGCTTTTATATATCGGGTGTCCCTGATCAATCGGCGGGGACATTGTATCATATAGTAGGATATTCCTGTAAACGTGTAACTTCTTTATGCAAAGTTTAATCGTAAACATCGATTTCCAGCATTGAATTTTTTTCTTCTTTTTCTATTTTCTATTTTTTTATTTTTTAAAAATTGATATTTTATTTCAATAAAAAATTTTATCATAATAATTCGTAAATAATCGAGATCACTCGACGATGTATTTTAAAGTGTTGTGAATAAATAGAAAATCGCAATTATTTACATAGATATATTCCACTTTAACTATATCTAATCATTCACTAGTGGTGAAGTAATAGCACGGTTGTTTCGACAAAATTGAATCATTAAAATGTAATCAGCAAGCAGATATCTTAATTTAAGTGTCTTAAGATTCTGACTAAATCTTAAATTAATATTTTGTGTAAACAGAAAATAATTCGTTGACAATTTGTTTTAAAGTGAATTTCTTATTCAATATCTTGTCTTATCTTTGCTTCAAGATTGCGTTATTGCGATAACACTTTCAATTTTTATCATTGCGCTATTTTACTTGACGCCAGATAATAAAGTTTTCTTTAAAAAATAAACCAACGTGCTATTTAAACTTTTTCTATTTACTACATATTCATCATTCTGTAAAAAAAAAAAAAAAAAAAAATCGTTTAAGAAGATAGAATATGATAGAAAAGGTATATTTATTAAGAGGAGAAAGAGAAATTAGTTATATTTTCAAAAATGTATGATTGCAAATATTATACATTAAATATTTAATATAAATATTATTTTGTTTCATCTGTACGTTTGAATACGTTCTTCAAAGCGTGTAAGTGCGTAACTGGTAATTTTGATCTGTCGTGTTACGCCTCCAGCGGTATATTGATGGTAGGGTATAATTTTGTGTAAAATAAAAGACAGTCAGTTTATTATTAATGTTCTTTACTGCGGAGAAATCTTTAATATTACTTGTTTGCATAATTATTCATCGCTGTAATCTTAAGTGGTTCTGACAATTAAATTTATTTGATTATTCTCGTTCTATTTTAATATTTTGATCTATTAAAAATTATAGATCTCTCTGTCAATCGTTAGAGAAACTAACTAAGAGAAATTAAGTATAAAAATCTACAAATTGCTAAATTATTTTATTGAAAATAAATCAAATTAACAAGTTAAATAAAAAATTTTCAATTGTTTACATTAAAAGGACTTATCTATGAATAATTCATGAATTTGTAAATTAAAAATTATATTTGTATTTTTTACTACAATGTAATGAAAATAATATGAATTTGAAAGATTTTTTTTTTAATTTAAATTTAATTTAAATATAATGCTATTAATTAATGCTAAATTTATTTATACATATTACTAAATATTATTATAAACATTGTAATAAATGTTAATATATATCTATATAAAAAATTCGTATATGATAATTTAAGCTTTTTAACATTAAGATTTTTAAGATTTTTAATCAAAAAAATAACAAAATTAATCATTAGAACTGCCTCTTCCGTGTATAAATTTTGTAGAGCAAATAGAGCAAATAATGAGAAAAGAACAAAAATAAACAAAAAATTGTGAAATCAATGCCATATTTAGAATGCAAATTAAATAAAGAAAAGATAAAAAATAGTAGAAATAGAATAAAGATAGAGTAAGAATTGAGAAGAATAGTGTCATCTTTCGAGTATCTAAAAGATACTTGCCTCTTAAAGGCAAGATAGAAGAAGAATTGACGCCATCTCTTAAATAGCTTTAAAAATAATTCTTCGAAAAAATATCTTTGAGACTCAAGAGATGGCGCTAACAATCAATTCTTATTCTATTTCTATCCTTTCTTTATATATTTAATTTGCGACACTCTGGAGATGGCGTTGATTTCAATATTTTTATTATTTCTATCTTCTTTTTATTATTAATTTCCTTGTTTATACTATATGCATAACCATAAGTACAACAATTGAATATATTCTCATTATTTCTTTTTTAAAATTTTTCTTCAAAACAAATGTATCTTTTTAATGTGAGAAATATAAATATTACATTCTTTAGAAATAATTAATTTAAAAATAATAAATTTAAACAAATAAAAAACTTTGTCGACTCCGCAACAAAGTTAAAGAAAAAATTTTAAAGCATTCTATATTATATTTATTTGAAATCCATAGATGTCATTATCTTGTCTGTCGAATTACCTGTGTATAATGTGTACCTATATATAAATAAGGAAGGAAAAATTTACGAGTCAGTTTCGTTTCGACCGTTGTGCCGTTTAGATCTATCGTAACATAAGTGAGTTATATATTTTGTTTGCAATTAAAATTATGCGTATTCAATTTGTATATTATTTAAAGTTGTGTACGAATTTAACATTAAAAATATATGTTTTTTTACGCGTATTAAAATACATTTATATTTCATATACTATATTTATATAATATAGTATATTAACTATTTATTTATAAATGTGATTATTTCGCGCGTTTTATTCGCGAGTATTGATATTTTTATTCCTCTGTTGGTTGGTACACTTTATTATAAAGGCATAGGAAATTGTTTTTTTGATTGTAATACCTAAAAACGTTAAATCATATTTTGGTATCGGAAAAATGTATAATGTTAGTATTTCATGTTTGAATTTGATTCATATACAAATTTAATTTTCGTTTGTTACGTACAAGAAATTGAATATTAAAGAATATTTCCAATATGAATATATTTGTATTGAAGTAAAAATAAAAATCTAAAAAATTTATTTAGATAAATTTAAAAAATTTTTAAATATAGTTTATTGATCAATTTTAAAAAATAAAAAGTAAATGTTATATTTTCATGGATAATAAAGAATTTGTCTTCCATATTATTTTATCTTTGATATTTTGTATAAAATTACTTAATTTGCGTGTACATTATATTTTATATATATGTTGATTTAAATTTTATAAGAAATTTATTATTACTTTTAATATAATATCGTAAAGATATTATCATCTGACAAAATTATTTTTTAATCATCTTCTTCTCGGTGTATGTATAAATATTGAAAACATCGATTTGTTCTGTCTCTATAAAATATGAAAGTATGAAATTATAAAATTACACAATGAAGAAGGTATAATTAAAAAAAAAAACAAATGAAATTTTTAAGTTTTTATATCTTTTCGTAATTATTATCATTATTATTAAAAAACATTTAATTATCTTTGAAAAGTTTTATAGAAATTATGTAAAAAATCGTAATAATGTTTAATACTATCATTAATCAAATTTTTTTTAAACTATTGCTTTAATAATATTCTAAAGTATTTTTAAATCATATATTTAATCATAATATTTAATATTTAATAATTAATACCAAATATTTAAATATTTTAAATGAATTTTTGAAATAAAATTAATAAGTATTAAAATACTTTTAAAATTGTTTTTGTATAAATAAAACTTGGTATAATTCAATTATCCACATCTAAAAATACATAAAACAATTTATACAACATTTTCATAATAAACACAAATACATAATGGACTATAATGTTGATATTGGCCGTATTACGATTTCCTAGCTTTTAAATTTATTACATTGTTGCAGAATTTTCACATACCAGATTTCGAGAAACATTTGTTACGATTTAAAATTTTGTTTCATATATTTGTTTGTCATGGTTAAAAATGTTTCAAGTCCATTTTTTATTATAATTAATTTTAGCTGGAAATATATAAAGATTACATATTAGGTCACGTACTAGTATTTCGAAAAGAAAAAGAAAATAAAGACAAAAATCTTTTTTTATTCCATGTCGAGTTAGTTCGATCCATTTAAAATTTCCTTACTTTCCTACATTGGACATGGGACTGAGCAGAATGAAGAAATGTAGACGAGTTCCACGTTCGTCGTACAATTTTATTGCCGGGGCGAACTCGTCTGTATCCAGCATTCGACATACACAGTTTCCTCTTTTTTCTTTCTTTTTTTTTTTTTTTTTTTTAATTACAGTTAGTTTCGATTGGTTGTCGACAATGTTGTCCGGGTTTTTTTCTTTTTTTTTTTTTTTTTTTTTAATTACAGTTAGTTTCGATTGGTTGTCGACAATGTAGTCCGAGTTTTTTTCTCTTTTTTGTTTTTATTTCCTTAAACGCAATAAATAAATGAATTCGCGCGCGTGTATCATTTACGAAAACGACAATATAAAATCGTAATTCTGCATTAGTAAATAAATTAAGTAAACGAGCGGTATAGAAGGGTGTGTAGAAGAAGTATAATCGGGATTTTGGGCGTATTTCGTATTTGATATTACAATAATACACTACCGGTTGCATTTTCGTGTTTTTTTTTTATGTGTATATATGTACGTGTGTGCGTGCATGCATGTGTATCTCGTGTGGATTCTTACGTGAACACGCGTGCTCTGTCGCGCGCGCGCGTGCTCGCGTGAATGTCGATGGGCATTGTTCAGTCGCTAGTTCCTACGTCACATTGCACATACAGCTAACGTACAAATATAATGACGTAACGTTTCGTACGACTCTACTTCCTAAAGTCTCTATACAGCGTGACACTACCCGCCGTTCAAAGGGAGTTTTTTCTTTGGAGCTGTTTCGAGACTTGGATATTTCTGGTTCCGGGATGCTGACTGGAGAAAAAAACCGCCTCCCAAAATTACTCGGTCGTTCAATCGTTGGAATTTCTTCTAGATCTGCCTGCGTTGATTCTCAGTATAAAAAAAGTTGTTGCTGCTGCTGCTGCTGCTGGGGGGCAGTGGGACTGGAGTATGATGACGATGTACAGGTATTAGCAAGGGGCTAGTTGCCATTCGTCGAGCGCTGCATTGCCGGAATTACTGCGTCTCTTTCAGTCCCGTAGATTTTACCGGCTTTCTTTGCCATACTGCCCAGCATTTCCATCGAACATTTATGCGCGGATCTCAGCGACAACGCCCATTCTTTCAAACTGATCTCATCCTACAAAAAGATTTATTTTTTACAGATAGAATTTTTTAATAATTCTCTTAAATTTAACTATAAATATTTTCTAATTTGTCTCTCGCTTTTTCAAAGAGATTTATTAAATCGTTATATGTGACTCACTGGATTTGTAAGTACTATTTTTGCGTCTCTCATACGGACGACAATACATTGTTCCCCTTTCACGTGCTGAAAATCCGCGCTAACTTCCTCAACCTAAAAATTTATTTACACATATATTGAAGAAATATAATATATGTTTGATATATATATATACAATTAAATTATATATATAATTAGCTATACAATTAAATATAATAAAAATATAAGTTAGATTTGAATAGAATTATTTTCCTTTTTTCTAAAAGACATTCTGTGATATTTTTATAAAACTTAAATTATTCAAAATTAATTTATATATATATTTTATCTTTTATGATATTTGAAACAAAATACCATGATTTCTACTATTAATCAAGTAATATTTTTATTTTGTAAAATTTAAATTATTCAAAATTAATTTATATATATATTTTATCTTTTATGATA